GTACAACCCAACAGGTCCCAACACAACCCAACAGGTGCTCAGTACAACCCAACAGGTGCCAGTAATAAACCCAGCAGGTGTGTCAGTACAACCCAACAGGTGTCAGTACAACCCAACAGGTCCTAACACAAACCAATAGGTGCCAGTAATAACCCAACAGGTGCCAGTACAACCCAGCAGGTGTCGGGGTACAACCCAACAGGTGCCAGTACAACCCAACAGGTGCCAGTACAACCCAGCAGGTGCCAGTAATAACCCAACAGGTGCCAGTACAACCCAGCAGGTGCCAGTACAACCCAGCAGGTGCCAGTACAACCCAACAGGTCCCAACATTAACCCAGCAATAACAGGTGCCAGTACAACCCCAGCAGGTGCCAGTACAACCTCCAGCAGGTGCCAACACAACCCAACAGGTCCCAACACAACCCAGCAGGTGCCAGTACAACCCAACAGGTCCCAACACAACCCAACAGGTGCCAGTACAACCCAACAGGTGCCAGTACAACCTAACAGGTGCCAGGCACAACCCAGCAGGTGCCAGTACAACCCAACAGGTCCCAACACAACCCAACAGGTGCCAGTACAACCCAACAGGTGCCAGTACAACCCAACAGGTGCCAGTGCCAACCCAACAGGTGCCAGTGCACAACCCAACAGGTGCCAGTACAACCCAGCAGGTGTGCCAGTACAACCCAGCAGGTGCCAGGCATTAACCCAACAGGTGCCAGTACAACCCAGCAGGTGCCAGTACAACCCAACAGGTGCCAGTACAACCCAACAGGTGCCAGTACAACCAACAGGTGCCAGTACAACCCAACAGGTGCCAGTACAACCCAACAGATGCCAGTACAACCTAACAGGTGCCAGCAACCCAACAGGTGCCAGTACAACCCAACAGGTACCCAGTACAACCTAACAGGTGCCAGTACAACCCAGCAGGTGCCAGTACAACCCAGCAGGTGCCAGTACAACCCAGCAGGTGCCAGTGCCAACCCAGCAGGTGGTGCCAGGCACAAATCCCAGCAGGTGCCAGTACAACCCAGCAGGTGCCAGTACAACCCAACAGGTGCCAGGTACAACCCGCAACATGTGCCATTATTACAAAGCAACAGGTCCCAACACAACCCAACAGGTGCCAGTACAACCCAACATGTGCCATTACAACTCAACATGTGCTATTATTAACCCAACAGGTCCCAGTATAACCTAACAGGTGCCAACACAACCCAACAGGTGTCAATACAACCCAACAGGTGTCAGTACAACCTAACAGGTGCCAGTACAACCTAACAGGTGCCAGTAATAACCCAACAGGTGCCAGTACAACCTAACAGGTGCGAGTACAACCCAACAGGTGCCAGTACAATCCAATAGGTGCTAATATTAACCCAACAGGTGTCAACACAACCCAACAGGTGTCAACACAACCCAACAGGTGCCAGTACAACCCAACAGGTGCCAGTAATAATCCAATAGGTGCCAGTACAAATCTAACAGGTGCCAGTACTAACCAATAGGTGTCAGTACAACCCAACAGGTGCCAACACAACCCAACAGGTGTCAATACAACCTAACAGGTGTCAGTACAACTGAACAGGTTAGCATAATCCAATAGGTGCCAATACAACCCAACAGGTGTCAGTACAACCCAACAGGTGCGCCAGTAATAATCCAATAGGTGCTAGTACAACCCAACAGGTGCCAGTACAATCCAATAGGTGCCAGTACAACCCAACAGGTGCCATTACAACCCGCTAACAGATGCTGGGGTACAACCCAACAGGTGCCAGTACAACCCAACATGTGCCATTACAACCCAACAGATGCCAGTACAACCCAACAGATGCCAGTACAACCCAACAGGTGCCATTACAACCCAACAGGTGCTAATACAACCTAACAGATGCCAGTATTAACCCAACAGGTGCCAGTACAACCCAACAGGTGCCAGTGGCCAACCCAACAGGTGCCAGTACAACCCAACATGTGCTATTACAACCCAACAGATGCCAGTACAACCCAACAGATGCCAGTACAACCCAACAGGTGCCATTACAACCCAACAGGTGCTAATACAACCCAACAGATGCCAGTACAACCCCAACAGGTGCTAAGTACAACCTAACAGGTGCCAGGGTACAACCCAACAGGTGCCAGTACAACCTAACAGGTGCCAGGGTACAACCCAGCAACAGGCGCGCTAGTGTACAAACTTTAACAGGTGCCAGGGTACAACCTAACAGGTGCTGTGTACAACCCAACAGGTGCTATTACAACCCAACAGATGCCAGTACAACCCTAACAGGTGCCAGTACAACCCAACATGTGCCATTACAAACTCAACAGATGCCAGTACAACCCAACAGATGCCAGTACAACCCAACAGGTGCCATGCTAAACCCAACAGGTGCCAATACAACCCAACAGATGCACAACCCAACAGGTGCCAGTAATAACCCAACAGGTGCCAGTACAACCCAACAGGTGCCAGTACAACCCAACATGTGCCATTACAACCCAACAGCTGCCAGTACAACCTAACAGATGCCAGTACAACCCAACAGATGCCAGTACAACTCAACAGGTGCCATTACAACCCAACAGGTGCCAATACAACCCAACAGATGCCAGTACAACCCAACAGGTGCCAGTACAACCTAACAGGTGTGCCAGTACAACCCAACAGGTGCCAGTACAACCAACAGGTGCCAGTACAACCCAACAGATGCCAGTACAACCCAACAGGTGCCAGTACAACCTAACAGGTGCCAGGGTATTAACCTAACAGGTGCTAGTACAACCTAACAGGTGCCAATACAACCCAACAGGTGCCAGTACAACCCAACAGATGCCAGTACAACTCCAACAGGTGCCAGTACAACCCAACAGGTGCCAGTACAACCTAACAGGTGCCAGTACAACCCAACAGGTGCCAATACAACCCAACAGGTGCCAGTACAACCCAACAGATGCCACAGTATTAACCCAACAGGTGCCAATACAACCCAACAGATGCCAGTACAACCCAACAGGTGCCAGTTGCACTGTGACAGGAGAAATACTGTTAACGAGACGACTGCTGCCCCCTCAGGAGACTGAGTTATTCCTTCAGCCTCCAAGAACAGCACTGGTTCACTGACGTATAATGGTTCTTCACGCCGACATATAGCAGTCAAGTGAAGACCAAAATAGAGCCAAAATTGATAGGTTATTCACGAGAAAGTACTGAAAATGTAATGAGGTCTGCATACGAATATTAACTTGTGTTTATGAAAGCGCTTAATGTCTATTTCAATGTTTGTGTATTGACTTTATTTCAGTTACCCCGTAAATTTGTTTAAGGTGTAGAAGCTGTCGCCAACACAACAACCACACCCTAAGTTAACAAGCTGCATGACCCAGTCTCAAGGAATAGTCTGCAAAGACCGGACAACTCGCCAACTGCACTGGCTAACCATTACCCCGGAACACTATCCGCAAATCGATTAACATCCAGGTCCCCAATTACTGCTGGGTAGACAGAGACAAATGGCGTAAAGAAACTTGCCCATAGTTTCACCCTGCCAGGGAATCGAGCCCGGGTCCACTCGCTTGCTTTGACTGTGAGCTTAGAATTATAGGAAGTAGTTGTTGCATGACCAGAAACTCCAATAGCGACACGTGAGCGTATTACACCCAACACTATAACCACCGTGCCTGGTCACCCGCTGGGGCCGTCACACCTGGCTAATATGGACACACGGTTGAGGACGCCTTAACTACCACTCTACTGTACTCTGCCGGCATTCCACTCCACATCCTCAGCTCATACAGGTAAATGTTCTTCTTCTAATGGTATTTTATGTACTAAATCACCTGTTTCTATATAACACCAAATAATTGTAGTTAATTTGGTTATTCTGTCATATATGAACAGGATATAAAAAGTCAAGCGTACTACGTGACAGGTGTTTGGTGATGATGCACTGAACACTATTACTGGACCCTTATCTCTTCTCCATTTCTTCCTTCACCTTTCCTTCTCCTTTGTCAACGTTCTTTTACAGGAAGACTCTCTTTATCTTCCAATTACTGTAGACATTTTCCCAATTTTCCGGATGCCTCCCTCGGCAGCTACCATGACCCGTCACTCGCCACCTCGTGCCTGCACCCTTCAGAGTCTAGTCTTTGTTCTCCCCCCGATGCAGTCACCCCAACACGGACGGAAATCCCCCGCCCCTCACCCCCTAACACTCACCGTGGAACTACCATCTGCCAGCCTCGGATCCAAGTCCTCACTCATGTAAATATTCAAAGAGACAACTTTCTTATTTTAGAGAATATAAAGCGGCGTATATGTAAAGGGAACAAAACATAGGATGAGTCAGAAGTTCATTGTCTTACACGGTGAGGTCAGTTCCCCTCCCTGCTGAGTGAACAGTACCATAGCTGGAGGATGGATTGAAGGGTTTGGACCCAGCAGCTAAGGAATGTCTTGTCTAGCAGGGAATTAAAACTCAACCTGACAGGTAAACTGGACTATACTGGCAGGTGAACAGTTCTTTCTCTGCCTCATAAAATAGACTATTTGAGAATAAAACTACGGATTACATCAGTAAGGGAAATCGGTTTCCATCAACTACGAACATAAGGTTATGTCTTGGGAAAAAGAATAAGATTTTAACAGGAGAAAAAGTTCCACTCTATACCAAGAGCATACGTCCCTAAACATAGGAGCATTGAACCTTTACTATCAGGAGTACAAGGTCTTATTTAACAGAAAAAAACGAATAATATGGCCGAAAAAGCCGATTTATGTGGTCGAGATCAGAATTCTAAGCAAAAGGCGAATATGTTTCTACATTACATGAAGAATAGTGATCTACCTACCATGAGAACTGAGTTTTCGTTGATAGAGAACAGAACCCGACCATGAATGAGAACACTCCCCTAATACCTGAAGCATAAAGCAGCAGGAGGTAAGTCACCGACACTCTACAGGTAAGTGACGTCATCCTTACCACAAGCAAGCATCTGTTGGCTCCAGCTGAGAACCTCATCAAGCATCCATGTTGTCCCGAAGACGACAGTTGGTAACACTTTCATCTGTGGGAGGTAATAAAACTTAAAAAACACACACACACACACACACACACACACACACACACACAGCAACTGAGACTAAGTAACACGGCAGCAACTGTAGGTCAGGGCGTTGGTGGAGGTGGAGGTGAGGGAGGGGTGAGGAAGCGGGTCAGCCCAGGGTTATGTACCCGCCACGAACCCCACCTGCTGCTGGTGACCAAACCAAGGAATGAAACAAGCTGCAATTTGCGACCGAGAAACAAAAATACTGTAGCTTCACCTGCCCCTACACCTGGTGGCTACTTAATACAGACGCGTGTTTTTTTTTTTTTGTAGGGTTTCAATTCGATGTCTTTTGCCTTTTGCTAAATTATATTAATTCCTAACGCCTCACATTGCTTTTATCTGGGTTTTTATCTATACTTATTTGACCTGAACGAATAATGTGGTGTGGTAACGTGCAGGAGAACATTATATTAATTCCCTGTTTCATCTTACAATTCACTCGTCACTGTTCATTTGGCCACGTGATCCCTCAGTCATTCTCTCCCTACGTTTTGTCTTCCATGTAACAAGATATTTCCACCAGTGACAGTTTCCGTGCGATCTACAACACCAACTTCTGACCTATACGAGAGAGAGAGAGAGAGAGAGAGAGAGAGAGAGAGAGCCACACACTACCACACTCTACACACACACTGCCCTATATCCTCAACACGCATATAGAGTACACACAATCACTCCTTCACCTCCGAACTAAACACAACGCGTCACATATCAATCCGTTTATGCTGTACTAAAACGCTTATCTGTGAGACTAATAACCACACACACTGTACAAGACCCACGATCGTTTGTTCACCTGTAGTATGATCTCTTGAGTTGACACCACCTGACCAGACAAATTCAATTAGGTAGCTTATCCCGCGTGTGTTGCTCCATCGTCCTCTCACCCTCGTGCAGTCATTAGCTTTCCTTTCTAATCTACCTTGAGTAACCTACGATGATTTAAACTGCACAGCACAGCACGTGGGTGACACATCCACCGTCCACACCCTCTGTTTACTCAGTCTAATCCTGAACAAACGAATAAAAACAAGACAAACAAACATACACAGAGCCAAGGCAGCGTCCCTACACAGAGCCAAGGCAGCGTCCCTACACAGAGCCAAGGCAGCGTCCCTACACAGAGCCAAGGCAGCGTCCCTACACAGAGCCAAGGCAGCGTCCCTACACAGAGCCAAGGCAGCGTCCCAGTAGATTTCATTTACCTCCCGCTGTCCTCTAATCACTACCTCCAATACCTGATACAGTTACTACACAATAACAAATAAACGCCACCAGTCCACCACCACCAAACTCTACCACAAAAACTAGTCCATAACAGCCGACAGCAGGGAGTGTTTTTTTTATTCCTCCTCACAACGTTAAACAGTTTCATATATGTCCTTCAAACAGGGAGCTCAGGGCACATTGAGTGACGTGTGAAACTCTGTGTGAAGTAGAAAGTGCAGTGAGTAGTTTGATAAGAGATATCAGTGAATGGTAGACGGAGGAGAAGACGACAAATGATATGATAAATAATCATCTAGTAGTGAAGGGGTTAAATCATCTAGTAGTGAAGGGGTTAAATCATCTAGTAGTGAAGGGGTTAAATCATCTAGTAGTGAAGGGGTTAAATCATCTAGTAGTGAAGGGGTTAAATCATCTAGTAGTGAAGGGGTTAAATCATCTAGTACTGGAGGGGTTAAATCATCTAGTAGTGAAGGGGTTAAATCATCTAGTAGTGAAAGGGTTAAATCATCTAGTAGTGAAGGGGTTAAATCATCTAGTAGTGAAGGGGTTAAATCATCTAGTAGTGAAGGGGTTAAATCATCTATCACTGAAGGGGTTAAATCATCTAGTACTGAAGGGGTTAAATCATCTAGTAGTGAAGGGGTTAAATCATCTAGTAGTGAAGGGGTTAAATCATCTAGTAGTGAAGGGGTTAAATCATCTAGTAATGAAGGGGTTAAATCATCTAGCACTGAAGGGGTTAAATCATCTAGTACTGAAGGGGTTAAATCATCTAGTACTGAAGGGGTTAAATCATCTAGTAGTGAAGGGGTTAAATCATCTAGTACTGAAGGGGTTAAATCATCTAGTACTGAAGGGGTTAAATCATCTAGTAGTGAAGGGGTTAAATCATCTAGTACTGAAGAGGTTAAATCATCTAGTAGTGAAGGGGTTAAATCATCTAGTACTGGAGGGGTTAAATCATTGTAGTAGTAGAAGTTAAATCATCTAGTAGTGGGGGTTAAATCATCTAGTACTGAAGGGGTTAAATCATCTAGTACTGAAGAGGTTAAATCATCTAGCACTGAAGGGGTTAAATCATCTAGTACTGAAGGGGTTAAATCATCTAGTAGTGAAGGGGTTAAATCATCTAGCACTGAAGGGGTTAAATCATCTAGTACTGAAGGGGTTAAATCATCTAGCACTGAAGGGGTTAAATCATCTAGTAGTGAAGGGGTTAAATCATCTAGTACTGAAGAGGTTAAATCATCTAGTAGTGAAGGGGTTAAATCATCTAGTACTGAAGGGGTTAAATCATCTAGTACTGAAGAGGTTAAATCATCTAGTACTGAAGGGGTTAAATCATCTAGTACTGAAGGGGTTAAATCATCTAGTAGTGAAGGGGTTAAATCATCTAGCACTGAAGGGGTTAAATCATCTAGTACTGAAGGGGTTAAATCATCTAGTAGTGAAGGGGTTAAATCATCTAGTACTGAAGAGGTTAAATCATCTAGCACTGAAGGGGTTAAATCATCTAGTAGTGAAGGGGTTAAATCATCTAGTAGTGAAGGGGTTAAATCATCTAGTACTGAAGAGGTTAAATCATCTAGTAGTGAAGGGGTTAAATCATCTAGTAGTGAAGGGGTTAAATCATCTAGCACTGAAGGGGTTAAATCATCTAGTAGTGAAGGGGTTAAATCATCTAGTAGTGAAAGGGTTAAATCATCTAGTAGTGAAGGGGTTAAATCATCTAGTAGTGAAGGGGTTAAATCATCTAGTACTGAAGAGGTTAAATCATCTAGCACTGAAGGGGTTAAATCCTCTAGTAGTGAAGGGGTTAAATCATCTAGTACTGGAGGGGTTAAATCATCTAGTAGTGAAGGGGTTAAATCATCTAGTACTGAAGGGGTTAAATCATCTAGTAGTGAAGGGGTTAAATCATCTAGTACTGAAGGGGTTAATAAACAACACGAGTACAGTATCGCCCAACCTTCCATTATTCCCCCAATACCAGTCCTGAGTTAACTAACCCGTTGACGACTTCACTGTCATTATGTGCATTTTACCTTTACGACCGTGGCAGACCATACCACAGGTATAGACTGTCAACATCACCACCCGACGTTACCAAACCACATCCTGCTTACCCCAAATACTTCTCCAAGGACACACAATCGCCTGCTTCCTCTAATAGTGACACTTAAATTATTATTGTATCGTTAACTTTTTTAACGAACACACACACACACTAAAACCTACTTGAAAATCGAGAAAGTAAAAACTATTAGTTTTAAAAGTATAAGGAATACGTAAATTGACATCTTATTTTTTTTATTTGCAGACATAAACAACTAAGTACATATACACCTGAATATACAGTATAGAAATAATAAACACTTAAATTTTTTATACCATCTCCTTTCTGAAATGACAACTTTGTGTGTTGCGTACGGTCGTTTGAACAGATACTGTACACATACCATAAAATATTAATAATAACAATAACAACTTATATCCCATTCAACTTAAAAGATAATTAAAGGAATAAACCACAAAAGTATACTCTGCCATGTTTAAACAACGCATGGTCTCGGATAATTCCCACACAGAAATTCTACACCTGCCTCTGTGCGCGGCTCTACCTGTGTCAGGGATTATCGCGCGCCATTACAGCCATAACCGGTGTATCCCACCATCCCACAGGAGAAAGAATCTGGATACTAATGACGTCATAAACGATCCACCGCTTTCATGTAGTGATGATCTAGGCTTGCGGGATGAAGGTGGAGGGGGCGGGGCGCTAACATAACGCTACCTAACCTTGTTATAGCGTCATATTATAGGTATTACAACTATAGCCCCCTGTGAATGTACTCGTATAACAAACACCCATATAGATTATTTTACTATTATTATACGTACTTATTGTGCTCCTCAGTCCTTATACAGGTTATTGCATGCTTGACAACCCCTCTCAGAGGTCAGCTCATCTGACCTCTAAATTGATGACTGTAGGGCGCCGCCCTAGCGACAGACAGACATTCTAAGAGCATCTCTCATTACTCCCCGACGAGAACTCAGTTACAGTTCTGTCACTGTACAAACTTGTACTTCACTTTACTGTTACACCAAATAAAGTAAAAAAAAAAACAGTTGTGTTTCAACAACTTCCCTGACACCTACTGTACAGTGTCTTCAAGTGAATAAGTGACCCTATTTACAAATAGCCATAACTACTAAGTGCTACGATCTGACTATAACAGCCTAACCTAGCACTAACTTAAATTATGGCTAACCAAACTTAACCTAACCTATCACCCAGGGCAGCACTAGGGTGTTCAATTATCTGGTAAAATAAGGTGTCGGGGGACAATCTTCAGGTGATCCGAGAACTGTAGCAAAACACGACTTCATTCTGGCAGCCGCTTGTACAGTATACCATAAATTAGAAGAAAAATAATTACAGACGTTCTTACAATACATCTCCAGACAGATAAGAACACACACCCACCCACATCACTCAGCAGGACACACAACCCGGCAACACTACTCTCAACACAGGGACCTTGATACAATCTTTTTCTCAAGTGGACAGACAGACACAGGTGGAAGGATATCACCTGGAGAAGGGGGGTGGGGGAAGGAAGTGAGATGGGTGGGGGAAAGAAGTGGGGGTGTGGGGGGGATGAAGTGGGGGTGTGGGGATGGAGACGAAAGTGTGGGGGAGTGGGAGTGAAGGAAAGTGT